TGGCATGTGGTGCTGGGGGATTGAACTGCGGTCCCTGTGCTTTGCTAAGCTTGTTCTAAGTAGGTGCTTTAGACCACTGAGCCATCTCACCAGCCCCCTCAGTATTTCTTAGCACACTGCTCATACTGTGCTGCAAACAGTAGCTTTCATCTGACGCATGCCAGTGGTCTCTGAGCTCTGAAAACAGTGCCTTCTATTTGGGTGGAGAATTTGAGCAGAAGGAAATGACTACTTTACCCCTTGCAATTGCTTAAATTTGTAACTTTTTCTCAAAAACTCTTTGAACTTGCTGAGTGTTCCCACTAAGATCAGCATAGGTGTCTTAAATAAGAGTAAGAAGTAAGCAGAGTAGAGCTGGATGTTTAAAATAGTTGAGTGCAGGGCTGGCCAGATACTCAGGGGACTAACCAGGGTTCGATCCCTGGTGTGCTGTGCCAGCCCCACCCCTGGGGTGCACTGAGAGGGCGAATGAGACTGGGCCTGGTGGTATAAGTCTTTAATCTCAGCGCTTGGGAGACTGAAAACAGGAGGATCACCTCGAGTCTGATCTGTGTAGTGAGACTCTATAGACCTTGTACTAAATACATTTTTAGAAAGTTAAACTTTTTTTTTTAAATTTTATTTATTTATTTGGTGTGTGTGTGTGTGTGGCCAGCTCAGCCCACCAGGGGGCCGGGCTGGCTGGCATGTGGTGCTGGGGGATTGAACTGCAGTCCCTGTGCTTTGCTGAGCTTGTTCTAAATAGGTGCCTTAGACCACTGAGCCATGTCACCAGCCCCATTTTTAAAAAGTTGAGTGTACTTTTTTAAATTTTTTTTTTAATTTTTTTACCTTTTTGAATGTACTTGCTACAGGGTCTCACTACACAGTTTGAACTAGTAGTGAATCTCTTGTTTTCAGCCTCCTCAGCATTGGGATTATAGATGTATACCACCATGCCCAGTCTCAGTGGCTCAGCTCACCTGGGGGCAGGGCTGGCGGGCATGTAGTGCCAGGATTGAATCGGGGTCCCAGCACTTGTCTAGGCAGGCGCTTAGTCTTCTACGCTGTCTCGCCGGCCCTGAGTGTACTATTGATGGTACTTTTTCAACCTGTTATGCCCAAGTCCGAGACCTAGATTTGACTCCCTTTGATTCCCAGCTTCGTTGATGATTTGACTGCTGGTCCCTGAAGGCACAGTGGTGTGTGAGACTTGCCATTCCTGTGCCATTAGCTTTGTCGGCTTTGGGCTGTGCCTTCCCCTTCCAGAAACCTTTGTTTGCTTAACGAGAAGCAAGGAAATGCCGATTGTCCTATTTTAGTATAGGATTAAAATACATGTAAGGACCTCATGGGGCCCAGCTGCTGGCTGGGTTTTCAGTCCAAATAGAGAAGAAGAATGTTTGCTATCTCTTTGAAAAATAAAAGAACTGTGCTCGTTGCTACATGAAGGAAGCAGCTGGCAAGAGTTTATCTGTACAAGGAACAAGGAGACATAAACTCATTATTGACTCTTAGTTATGAAATCCTGATCTCTCTTAAACATCATAAGTGGTGTTTATTAAGGTTTCTTTTTTTATGTATTTAGTCCAGGGTCTACAGGGTCTCACTGCACAGACCAGACTCATAGTGATTGATGCTCCTGTTTTCAGCCTCCCAAGCGCTGGGATTACAGGTGCGCACCACCACTCCCAGTCTCAGTCCCTGTATCAGTGCGCTCCGGCTGTGGGGCCAGCACAGCATGGGAACATGGGGATCAGACCCCCGTCCCCTGAACTTACCTAAGCAGGCACTTTAGTCTGCTGAGCTATCTGGCTGGCCCTCATTAAGGTTTCAGAAGCCCTCCAACTATGCTAATTTCTATTCTGGAGACTAGATTATTGAAGAGGGAAATGTCTTTTATGCTACAATCCCAGCTACTCAGGAAACTAGAGCAAAAGGATTCCAAGTATGAGGCTACTTAGGCAACTTAGTAGATGATGTCTCAAAAAATAAAAGGACTGAAGATGTAGCCCAGTGGTAGATTTGCTTTCCTAGCATGCATGAGGCCATGGGTTCAGTCCCCAGTACTGTCCACTCCCCGCCCCCCAAAAAAAGAGGAGGAGGAAGAAAAAAAGGAAGTGAAAACATGGTCTGTAGTTAACTGTTGGAGTAGCCAGACATGGTGGTGCACACCTGTGATCCCAGCACACAGGAGGCTGAGCCAGGAGGATCACCGTGTGTTCAAGGCCGGCTGTGAGCCACAGAGCAGAACTCTTTCTTAAAAAACCTAAAAAATAAATAAGTATTTAGAAAGGTGTGAAGTGGTCTCAGAATTAAACAGGAGTTACTCAGGTATTTTTCTCTTTCTAGGTGCATGCTATTATGATGCTAATCAGTCTATGTATGTGTTTGGAGGCTGTACACAGAGCAGCTGCAATGCTGCCTTCAATGACCTTTGGAGACTTGACCTCAACAGCAAAGAGTGGATTCGACCTTTGGCTTCAGGTAAGAGATGAGATGCTGGTTCTTGTCTTTTTACCAGGTGACTCTGTTAGCATGGAAACTCTCTGACTCTCTTTGGTGTTGATTTCAAACTTCGGTCTATTGACAGATTTGTATAAATGCTAAGAGTAATATGCTTATCTAAGCCTTTAATTTTTTTAAAATTACATTTTATTATTGGTATTGGTGCCCTGCCAAAATCGCTGTCCTGCCATGTGAATTTACTTGCACGGTTTTCTCAAGTAAACAGATGTGCTGTGCTGTGCTGTTTGATAGGAGGCTGAAGTAAGAGCAGAACCAGAGCTGTGAGAACAGTTGACTGACAGAAGCTATTGTCCCAGTGCTGAGGGCTTTGCATATCTTTCGTTCTTGCCAGCTCAGATATTTGGGAGTGTATGGGACAAGCCTCTGCTGGTTACTCTTAACAGCTCAACAGTGTGGGAAGATTTCAGTAGGTACATTCCTGCACAGTCCCTCTATGCCAGAATGCTAGCAGGAAAAGTACTACGTTATTTTTTTCTTTCAGCCTTGGTAGGGGTAGAAGAGGATTGTTTTTGCACTAATGAGACAGGACAATATGAAGCATCAGTTAAGACCAGAGAGGCTGATATGATAGAGAAATAGGGTCCTTTGGGTATAAAGTATTCTGGTAAATATGCTGGCATGCTTTCCCCAAAACATTATTTGGCTTTTCAAAGTTAGAACTCAGTCTTAGTACTAAGGAGACCTGGGTTTCGCTTGGGCAGCTTCCTTATTTGCTTAAGTTTTGTCTTACTACTTTGATGGCTAGAGTAGAGGCAGCGAGGGCTTTTCAAAAGGGTGCTGTACTGATAAAGTAGATAAGAGCTTCGTTGCCTAGAATAAAGACCAGTCCTCTGTGTAACCCTGAGTAAGTTATTGTACCTTTCAGAGAAACGTGGACTAAATGATTCTGTTTTTAAGTGGCCTGAAAAGGCTATTGTATGTTTCCCTGTGTTTATATAATCATCTTAATAAATGTAGGCCAGGGACTAGTCCTAGTTATGAGGGACTTAGCCTTAATTATGAGGCCAGGGACTCAGCCCTAATTATGAGGAGTAGCTGCATTTTGCTTCCCTAGAACTGAGGACAACTGTTCTACTCCTTACAGTATGAAAATAGAGGAAGATCCAGACAATATTCAGTGGGCCAGATGAGGTTTAGCTCATGGAATAGACTGTATTAAAATTATTGAGGTGGAGCTGGGAATGGTGGTACATGCCTGTAATCCCAACAGTTGGAAGGCTAAGGCAGGAAACTTCCCCTGAGTTCAAGGCCAGCCTGGACTACATGTGAAATCAAGGCCAACCTAAACTACACAGACTCCATCTCAAAAACCCTAGCCAGCCAGCCAACCAAATCAGCGTAGCACAGCGTAGCATAGCATATTGAGCTGGGTGCTGCGGCTGAGTAGTAGAGTGCCTTCCTATCATGTGCAAGGCCCTCGGTTCAGTCCTCAGTGCTGCAAAACACGAAATGAATAATCGATAATTGAATTATTAATTATTAATAAATTAAAATTTAGAAAATGGTGGTTTTTCCAGAAACTGGAAGAGATTAGTATTTGGTCTTTTGGAGCTCTCAGAATTTTGTACTTTGGAGGTCTCCTTTTCTAGCACTTTGTCCTCTATTGCAATCAGTGAAATGTTAGTACATATTTGGAGTCACAGGTCCTGAAATACACTAGGTTTTCTTGGCTTAAGCATCCTGTTGTCACTGTGCTTGATGTTTTGTCCAGACCCATTTCAATGCAGCTTTAATTGGTCAAGTTACAAACTTCTTCCTTTTTTTTTTTGGCAGAACTGGGGATTGAACTCTAGCCCTTGCACTTGCCAGGCAAGCACTTACTCCACTGAGCCATCTCCCCCAACTCCAGTCCAGTTAAAAATTTCTAACACTTTTTATTTTTTATTTATTATTTTTTTA